GGGAGAGGCCACAACAGTGAGAGGCCCACGTACCACAAAAAAAAAAAAAAAAGGAAAAAAATAGTATTTTTCAGATAATCAATCTATAAATTTTGGGAGGATACTGGGATAAGAATTGCAGGTGACGGTCTCATCACCTCACATCCCTGGGCCTTATTTCCTAGGAGGTTGGTTAAATGATCCTGATCTCAGCGGGCTGTGGGGTCCAGCGGCTGGACCTCGGTCCTTGTCTTCTTTGAAAAAAGAATTCAGCAAAGAGACAGAGATTATGAAGCAGATAAAATGTTTATTAGAAGCAAAGTACGTGTGGAAGTACACACAGGCAGACTCAGAGTGAGTCGTGCCCAGTAGGGGGTGTGGCTAAAATTGCTTATGTGGGGGCAGTTTTCCACGTTCCCTCTGGCCAGTCATCTTGCTCGTGCCCATATTTGGCCTGACTCAGGGCCCTGCCCGATATGCACGCACATCTTTCAGCCAAGATGAATTCTAGCACGAGAGTTTCTGGGAGGTTGGCGGGACATATTATGGGCTGGCGCCCCCTCTCACCTTTGACCCCTGAGTATCTTTTCTGCGCATGTGTGGTCTAGGATGTCTCCTTGACCATAGGAATGAGAAAAATGTGCTCGCCTTATCTTTTACTCAAGCAGGGCTCTGCTCCGGTCATTATCTTTATTTCGAAGTGTCTACAGGAGACTGTTTGCAGCTGCTCAGCCTGGGGCCCATCTCTCTCCAGCCTCAATCCCAACCCCTTAAAGTATGGAGGGTGGGGGGCATGTGTGTGTGCTCACACTCACTTGTGTAGACCTGTGTGGTGAGTGAATGTCAGGAGAAGGTGTGTTGTCTGTAAAGTCGTATTCAATATCATGAAGGTTTAATAAGTTATTAGTCATAATATTTAATTTGTTTTAAAGTTTCAAATAGCATTAAGGGATGTGTGGCTTATCAGAAAGGGGGCCAAGTAGTCAAAGCCTGAGAAACACTGTTCTAAGAACTTGCGATCTAAGATTTGAAAACAGAAATACAAATACATTGGACGACTTTGGTGCATTTCCTTCCAGCATGATATCTTTTAAAGGTATCCATACTTATGTGGTGGGATTTGGATTGATTTTTTTTTCTTTTTTTTTTCGTGCCTTTTTACATTTTCCAAATTTTCTAGCATGGAAATGAACTGCTTTTATAATGAGAGAGAAAACAATAAATGTTCCATCATTTGAACTTCAGCCATAAATATCATTAAGTAGACGAGACTTGCCCTCAGTTAGTTCAAGTTATATTGATCAGTTAGCTTGCATGCTTAGCTTCTAGTTAACAGCATTTCCTGATTAACTAGAGGTTAATTGGAAGACATTACTTCATAGGTGTCTTTGCACACTGTCTTTCCACTTCCTTAGACTATAGCTGGATATTGCTTTGATCATCAAGCCTCCTGTGATGTCTGGAATCTACATACTGAACAAAGAATCACAAATCTTCTTGAAGACTGTTTCCTATTGTAGATATATGATTCCTGTGTCTTCAATCCTACCATCAAACCCACACGCCATGTGCTCCGTTGCCTGTCACTCGCCTACCCTGATCATTTTTTTCATACAAATTAGTGGGTTTGACAAGTTGACATATAACGGACCTCTCAGCTATAGCAAGCTGTGTCTTCTAAAATTCACTTAAGTTGTACAATCACTTACAAATTTGCTCATTAAATATTTACTGAGTAGTTACTATTTCTAAGAACTGTTTGAGGTACTTGGGATACAACAGAGAGCAAAAATGGACAAAGATACATGCCCTTGTGAAGCTTGTGTTCTAGCAGAGGAAACCCAAGATAAACAATAGACTTAAAAATAAGGAAGTTATTTTACAATAACTTACCTAATGTAATACGTTAGTAAATAATATAGTATGTTAGACAGTGAAAAACACTGTTTGCTGTGTTACAAGCTACCCCAGATCTTAGTGACGTAGAACAGCCAGTTTATCGTGCTCACTGATTCTGTGGGTCAGGCATTTGGACAGGGTACATACAACAGGGATAGTCTGTCTCTCTTCCGTGATGTCTAAAGCCTTGACTGGGAATGCTCTAAGGCTTGGGACTGAAGATCTGAAAGTGTCTTCACTCAGATAGCTAACAGCTGGGATCTCAGCTGGGATTGCCAGCTGGAACACCTACACTCAGCCTCTTCCGGTGGCCTGGGCTTCCACACAGCATGGTTGCCTCGGGATCGCTGAACTTCTTACATGGTGGCGCAGAGCTCTGCCGGTGAGCCCGCTAGCTAACAAGGTGGAAAGTGCGTCACCCCTTGTTACCTACAGTTGGACGCCACACAGCATCACTCCAACCATCTTATATTGGTTATATGCAAACAATAACTGCCTACATTCTGGGGGAGGGGAATTAGACTCCATCTCTTGATGAAGGGAGGTGTAGCTGCAAGATTCTAAGAGAGAATACGGAACAGGAGTAGTGGAAAATATAATCTGTGGATAATACAGTCTTCCACAAGTAAGTACCATGGGAAATGAAAGAGAAGCGCAAGAAAGGGAGATGGTATATTCCAGGGACATGAGGTGAAGGAGTTCCAGTATTAAACAGGCTGAAAGGGCAGTCTTTAATTAGAATATGAGATTTGAGCAGAGACATGCTGGAAAGTATCTGGAGGAAAATAGTCAAGATCCAGGGAGTGATATATCTGGCATGTACAAGGAGGTCAGGTGTGGTGTGAGTCCAGTGAACAAGAAAGAAAAGTAATAGAAGGTGCAATTGGAGAAATAAAGGGGGCCTGATCATATAGTGCCTTATAAGCCATTATAGGGACTTTGGCTTTTACTCTGAATGAAATGAAAAGCCACTGCAGCGTTTTGAGAAGACAAGTGATAATTTTCTGACATTATTTTGAAAGATTGATTCTTGCTGCTCCATGGAGAATAGACAGAGGGAGGAAAGGGTAAAAGCAGGGAAACCAGTTGCGAGCCCACTGCAGTGACGCAGCAGAGAGACAGTGCT